GAACTTTTCAATGGCGAATTTCCAGGTATGAGCAAGCCTAGCATGCATTGAATAACCTCTACCAGGAATTTTCTGAAGTATTTCCGTTCCTCTACATTTTAATCCAAGCAGGAGGAAGTTGAACATTTGAATTCAGGAATGACTTGTAGAATGGCTCAACAATGTACTTGTGTAAATTATCATTTTCGTTGGATGAGTCTGAACCATTATTGTCTAAAGATACTGAGCTATGATGTAAAATATTATCGGTTTCTTGCATGAGCATGTAGTGACATTGACATTGAAAGTCTCCGCTCGAATGCTTTGGATTCTTTGGGCAGTACAGAAATAGATTTGGTAAATACCAAGCACCGTGCTCCTTCTGTTTAGTGAGATACATTCTCAACAAGTCACGTATTTGCATGATGATGGTGTCTCCAGTGGGAAGGTTTCCTCCCAGCTTTGGATGTTTGAACGTCACCGAGAGAGGAACTTGAATACCCAAATTTCGTACTCCCATTTCTTTGCAATCATCCATAATTTTCGAATATCCATTCATGATTTGTTCGTATTCTTGTTCATTAGTATTTTCAATGCTATTATTGATACTTCCATTAATACTACTACGCGAAGAAGAGTAATCGGTCTGTGAAACGAGGTGGAATATCAAATTTGCATAACTCAAATTAGAATGTTTGGTAATGAAATAATCTCCAAGTTTGGGAGTTGTTTCATAATCCTTTGAATTTTCATTGCCGCTTCCGATACTACTGCTAGCACCAGTTCTCTCTTGAATATTGTTCCTCACTTGCCTTATTTGCTCGTCAAATGATGGAAAATGAAAATCTGGACCTTGTGCATGATTGGCCTCAAACCGTATTCTCTCCATATCTCGCATGGCCCAAGTCAAGGTTGGAGTGTGTTGCTTGTTTGTCGTCACATGTGACGAGGACGTTACATCCTGATGCAATGTTTCACCCACACTCTCTACGGTAGAACTCTTTTGAATGCAACAATTCACAACAAGTGCACTCAGCCTTGACTGATACAAATTATATGTTTGTCTCGCTTTGAACAGAATATAATCCTCTTCGCAGTCACGTTCCTCCTCATCCTTTTTAAAATTCCTACAAATACAGTCACTCATGTCAGCCGTGTAAATAATGAAAACTCTTCCACATAAGCGTCTTGTGCCGTCTCCTTTAAACAACTCAGAGTCTGCATCGTCCTCAATGAACACATACGAATCATCATAGGGACTATACAAGTCGTCATTCTCCAAATATATTCTCTCAATCTTTTTGTAAATAGAAATGCAATGGAATCTCTCAGTTTGAATGAGCCGAGGAATGTCAGTGAGAGTTCTTCCATCTCTGAATATGCGTTTCATCATTCTTTTGATTTCATTGAGCTTTTTTCGTGTGGCTTCTTGTTCTGAGGACGTTGTGGCATTACCAGGTGGTCGAGCTTCCATCATCGAGATGGGTTGTGGACTATCAATGGCATCAAACGTCTCCAAAACAGTCCATGGATCTTGTGTGGTGGAGTTAGTTTTTGGTGAATGTTTCTTTTTCTTAGCTCGAATCGAGAATTTTCGAATGAACGACGATAAATTTCCAAATTTGTTGGATGCATTCTGAATAGAATACTTGTCTCCCTGTAATTCATTTCTCAATAATAATTCAAATTGTTTTCCACGAGGTTCCATCAATCGAAAGGCTGGGAATAGTAAATCGTCCTTACTTTTCACGAGATTGGCCTTTGTTTTGGATCGATTCGTGAAAGCATCTTCCTTATCTAGATCAGAAACAAATGTCCAAAAAGTAATGACCATTTCCTTGTACAACTCTCGTAATTCTTCATTCCATTTTTCTTCCAATTCTTCTAATTGCTTCATGTGCTCCAAGACCATGACTTGTAATTGATCATTTCTTTCCATAGTCATTTTCTGTTCCATTCCATCTCGATGACTGATTGTGAATTTTGATAATGTTCACACAAGTGACATTCAAAAAGTGTCATTTTGTCATAATTTGGGTCACCATTCATAAGAAGAAGAAAAATAATATTGATAATTATTTTCAATGCTCACAACCTCTTAACACTACGTACACTTTCTGAATTTCACTAATTTCAGTTTCTCTTCCCTTAATTTTATCTTGATAGGCACATCTCAAATCATTTGCAATTTTCACCAAATAAATCTGATTCACATAACTCGAATGAAAAAGTCGATAAAATTTGGAAATGTCTTGAATCGGTAATATTGAAATTTCTTGATCAATGTTGAGAATATTGGATTCATTGAAAGAAGAATATTCGTCCGTGTTCGATTTGAGTTGATGATCGATCGGATCGTCCCCAACGACTTGCCAATCATCTTCATCATCTTCATAATAAAATTCATCTACAATTTGATCATTCCTTGTCGTTTGACGTTCCCGAATTAATTCCAATAATTGAAAAGTGATACTCTCTTTTAAATAGAGAGGTAATTTATATTCATTGCAACATGTTTGTTCCACAAAGTCGTACAGAGAAATGTGGGAATACCATTTCAAATGAAGAGCGTGAACAATGTGGCCACGTTCCGAATATCGGTATGAAATTTCCATGTATTGTTGTTGCTCTTCCTCGTCATTGATGAAAATGGGGAAGGTGGATCGAATGAGTTCCTCTTCATCGGCCAATTCGGATGTCATTGTGAATGTCAATGTTGAAGATTTTTTTAATAAAATCACAATTTATTGTTATTATTTAAAACTGTACAATTAATCTTTGAATAAATTAAAAGTTTTGATAGATAGATATTAGTCAAATGATACAAATGTCCAATAGGTGGTATAGGATTTATTTAAAGCTTGGAAACTCTATGAGTCGTTGATTTTAATCTAAAAACAACATCATAGAGTGTGAATTTTTAATTCCACAGAAAAAGAAATGACAGCTTACAATCCTAGTTTCTTCTTCAATGATGCATCAATAGCATCCATGAATTCCTTGGTGTTGAGATATTGGCTACGGTTGACACTGTTGTTGTGCATGAATGTGATCCGAAAGTAGTTGGTTTGTGTATTTCACAAATTTGTGAAAAATCATTCAGCAGATGCAGAACATATTTAAAGGCAATATTCGTGTTAAAATCACAAATCATCGAACAACACCAAAAACTTACTTGTTTCCGTGAATACAGATAGCCAAATCCTTGGTCATCTTTCCTTCTCTAATAGTGTCAATAGTAGCAGCCTCCAAAGAGTCACAGAACTTGGCCAAAGCATCGTTATTGTCCAACTTGGCACGATGAGCCAAACCACGAGTCCAAGCAAAGATGGAAGCAACTGGATTGGTTGAGGTCTCTTCACCCTTTTGGTGTTGTCTGTAGTGTCTGGTGACAGTACCGTGAGCAGCCTCGGATTCAACAGTCTTACCATCTGGGCACAACAAAACAGAGGTCATCAAACCCAATGAACCATATCCTTGAGCAACAATGTCGGATTGAACATCTCCGTCATAGTTCTTACATGCCCAAATGAATCCACCATTGCTCTTCAAAGTTTGAGCAACCATGTCATCAATAAGACGATGTTCATACCAAATGCCCAATTCAGTGAATTTGGTCTTGAATTCCTTTTCATAAATTTCTTGGAAGATGTCCTTGAAACGACCATCGTAGGCCTTCAAGATGGTATTCTTTGTGGACAAGTATAATGGCCACTTCTTATCAACAGCCAAGTTGAAGCATGAATAAGCAAAATCACGGATGGATTCATCAGTATTGTACATTCCCATAGCAACACCAGCACCTTCAAAGTCAAAGACAGTGTATCTCTTTTGTTCACCACCATTCTTTGGAGTGAAAACAAGTTCCATCTTACCTGGCTCACCAACAACCAAATCAGTGGCCTTGTATTGATCACCATGAGCATGACGACCAATGACGATTGGCTTGGTCCAACCAGGAACCAATCTTGGAATGTTTTCTATAACGATTGGTTCTCTAAAGACAGTACCACCCAAAATGTTACGAATCGTTCCGTTTGGTGATTTCCACATCTTCTTTAATTTGAATTCTTCAACACGTTGTTCATCAGGAGTGATGGTTGCACACTTGATACCAACATTGTACTTTTTAATGGCATGAGCAGCTTCTTCAGTGATCTTATCACTGGTTTCATCTCTCTTTTCAATACCCAAATCGTAATACTTGATATCGAGTTCAAGGTATGGAAGGATGAGCTTTTCCTTGATCCAGGCCCAGATGATACGGGTCATTTCATCTCCGTCCAATTCAACGACTGGATTTGCAACTTTAATCTTTTGGAATGAAGCCATGATGGTTGAGTTTCTAGTAGAGAAGGATCTCACTTGATGATTCAATAATGATGATGGTGTTGTGGTCGTAGCAGAGGAACGAGTCTGATGATGAGCAACAACGTTTGAAGTGTTCAACAACAAGGCTGCTGTGGTGTTGTGTGGAAATTTTTTGCAAAGAGAAAATCCCGATACAGCGGTTTTCAGCATTTTTTGATCGTCAGAAATTGAGCGAGGATTTGTAAAGGAAAAAAATTCGGAGGTTGTAACGTTGCTTAGTGAGTACACGATGGAGTGCGATCATCATCATCTCCATGATCAGAATTGATTGGTTTTATGTTGATTTGAGAAACACAAGTTTTTAGGAATGGATAGCATAGCAAGGAGGATGCTTGGATTGTTCTCCTGGATGTGTTCATATCAGCCAAGGCTCGAGAACAGGAATATTTGATCAGATCGTGCGTATGGAAAGAATCTCATCCGCGAAAAGGAATCCAATTCGCGAATTGTTGTTTTTTGAAATCTCAAATCATGAAACCACCACTTGTCACGAAACTGTAAATTCAGCTTGGTCATTATTTGCCTTGCCATCTGTATGTGGGTGGTTCAAAAATAAGGTCATGTCTAAGGTAATACTACTCGAACTTGTGGCATGATGAGCAACTATCAACAATCAACTGCTTGCTTTAGGGGTGGCAATTAATCTGGTTCTATTTTGAGTACTCTAATAATTTTGAAAGTCTCAAACACACTTCACTAAATTCAGGCCTTTCTGAATAATTGGCATTCCAACAAGATGTCATGATTGAAACGAATTCTTGTGTCACGTCACACAAAATATCCAACGATGTTTGTAATGTGTTGGTTTGGTCTATCAAATACACGGAAATCCATTCTCTCATTTCTTCATGGTTTCGAAAAGGTATCACTGGTCTCTCACCTTTCAATACTTTTACAATGACATTAAACCTCGAAACATCGTCACCTTGTTCAATAAATTTGTAAAGCTTTTCACAGGCCGAGTTCAGATATGGAGTCTCTTCAAAGAATAATTCCCACATGATGATTGCAAAACTATAGACGTCTACCTTGTGATTGTAGTTGGAATTTCCTTCAATCATTTCCTGTACGATTGGATGGACACATCAGAAATATGGCGAGTATTACGAAAATCATTTGAACAATGAATAACGTCTTTCCCTGTAGCCATCAATAACTTACATTAGCCATATAGGACAATGTTCCAATATTCGTGGTTGCTGAATTGGAATCTGTCAATGCCTTACTTAAACCAAAATCACAAATCTTTGCTGTGAAATGATTGTCAATCAAAATATTTCCAGGTTTCAAATCTCTATGAATAATTCCCTTTGGTTTCAGTGTATGTAAATAATTCATTCCTTTTGCAACTCCAAACAAAATATCAATTTTCTGAAATAGAGTCATCTTTTCAAATCCATGTTTCAAATTGTAGATTAATCGATCGAGACTTCCTCTCTCCACATACTCCACAACCATATACTTTTTGCTTCCTGCAAGAATCACTCCAAAAAATTGTACAATATTCGGATGTCGAATGCTTCCCAATAGAGATGCTTCTCGTTCGAATTCTTCATCTTCACTAGAAGCGTCGAGAGGTTCATCACTATGTTTGAGAGTTTTCAATGCAACCTTAGTTCCGTTCCAACTTGCCAAATACACGGTACCATTTGCACCGTCTGCAATTCGTTTCATAATTTCGATTTCGTCAATGGAAATGATCCATTGTGAATATTCTCGTGCATGGTGAGAGGTGTGAGAGGAGACGCTTTTTTTTGAGGAACTTCCATTGTTCGATTGGGATGAATCCTGCTTGTCACCGTCGTGATGATTCACAACTAATGGTGATTTTTCACCAAGTGAGTGATAAGGTGTTATGGAATTGCTGAGAGCAGATTCATGATCGTCATGTCCTTCCATTAACACGACTCGTTTTTCCAAAAGTTTTGACTCCATGAGCTTTTCAGCTTTCTCCTTCTTCTCCAATCGTTTCAGTTTGGAAATGATGTTTCTAATTAAACGAAACAATGCATACAGAGCAAGAAGAAATAATGAGAATAATAGAATGGAGGTAATTGAGGCTACAGCAATGATGGTTTCATAGGGTATATACGGCTCATCCACACAAATCCATGCATCATCTAACACGTCTTGTTTGACAAGACTTTTTCCTTGAGGACATGGTTCAATGTGAACAATTGTATCAATCCTTGTATTGGTGTCAAGATAAATCGATGGAAATACTTGTCGAACATTTGGTGTGAAAATGGCAACGGTCAATGATGAGAGTGCCAGAGAATTATTGGGGTTCTTGTCATAATTGAGCAATGCATTTTTAGATTCGTCCAATTGATAGCTTATCGGATTTTCCAAGAATTTCACTCTCTCAGATACGTTATTCCATACCGTTATTTCAATACTAGAAACTAATTGTCCAGGATACAGATATAATTCAGGAACTTGATTATTTCGAAAACTGGAGCTATTACCAGATGCGTACTGAATAGACACATCGAATCGAATGGAATGTAATGACTCTGCCAAATCATTTCCATAAGACATTCCCTCGTTTTGATTGAAGATGACGTCTTTCCAGTTAATGGGTGATTGTATGGGTGAGTGAAAATAGATACATCCTCCTGAATAGTATGCAATATTGGACAAGCAATTAAATGCAATACTAAGGGGTGCACTGTTAAACGTTCCAGAACCAATATAAACAGCACCCCCTTTGGATCTCGCAACGTTTTGAATGAATTCCACACTAAATAATGAAAGAAGACCCGTCTCAACATGAATGGCTCCTCCATTAAAAGCACTGTTGTTTCTCAATACAGAGGATTGAATGTGAAGCAAGTAAAAAACGACTTGAAGAGCTCCTCCTTTGCATTCCTCAGTCGTACAAAAATTGTTCTCAAAAGTGGATGAATAAATTTGAAAGGAAGACGTCAGGCCAGGTACAGGTTCATATAGGTTTGATTTCACAGTCATACATGGGCCTACGTTATTTGTGAAATTTAAATCATACGCTCGAATACCTTGTGCTTCTCGAATATAAAAAAGTGGAGCTCTATTGTTGTAACTCGTGACAGCATCAAGAAGTAATCCTGAAGTAGTTTCGACACTAATAATATACTTGTTAGAATTGTCCAATGCTTCCAAATCGGTAAATGTACATTTTCCTAGCGAAATAAATGTGACGCCATGAAATTTAAAGCTTGCCTTATCTCTTGCTGTAACTCTTGAATATTTTGTTTCGTATGAAAATAGGTGCTGGATAATATTAGTGCCATAGAATTGTACATCTTCAAAAATAGTGCTGTTAAATTCATAAATAATAAAAGTGGAATTGATGATTCGGCAATAGCTGATGCTGAAATCAATATTCAACTGTCTTAGTGCCAATATCCTATCATCAACTGTAAATTGAAAATTATCAATTTTGCAATAGGTCAATGATATTTTAGATGAAATTTTAGAGGACATGCTCGAGTTTGAAACGTCACAGCTTTTGATTTCAATCCAACGCTTGTTTTGAACAGAAATGGTTGAATTTTTGATCGAGCTAAGAGAGATGGTAATGGTTTTTAGAAGTGGTGTGATTGTTGTCACATCTTCATCTAAAATACGGACATGATTCAACTCCACACCTGTCACATCCAAGTTTAAGATTGTTGGATACATCAACCATAGATCCATTCTGAATAATTTAATTCCAAAAATCACCAAATTTGCTGCACCTAAATGTTTGTTCAATTTCTGATAATTACAATCCAATGTGATGATTTGTTGTAAATTCAGAGATGTGATCGTCACTTGTCGAAAATATCCATTCACATCAATTAGACATTGTTCGCTTCCATACGTCACATTGCCATCACTGTCGTTCATCAATTTTAACAACACCTTTGTAAAACTAGTATTTCTTTGAGCAAATTGAAGAGCCTCCGCCAACGAGGCACATGGCGTTAGAATATTTGTACAATTATTCATGTTATAACTATTGAAATTTTTGAAATTGAACATCCTAGATGGCGAGGGTTGAATGTAAAGTACAAGTGTTTCATCATCCACTGCCACAACATGATTTAAAATCTTTTCCGAAGGTGTTGTTGTTTCCGTCATCATTTCGGAGCGATTGAAAACGAAATGGCCATGGTCCAAAGAAGAAGCACCATGGACCAAAGAGTCCTCCCTTCTCATCATGATGGAAAGACTCGGCAGAATCACCTGTAGCAAAAGAATGATAGAAAGGCATAAAACATGAGTATTGAACGAGTGCTTCTTCGGCAGCTCGGAAAACATTTTTTTTGGGGCGAGAGTTGCCTTCTCTTCCTTGTGACACTTTGAAAATAAAAGATGAAACTCCAACATCAAACAAGAAGACTGTGGCGCATCAAGATTCAATGTATGACAATTTCTTTCAATTCAACAAATTCACAAAAATGTCAGATTGAATAAGGAAATTTCAAATAAGGAAATATTCAATCTGACATTTAACCTTCATTTACTTTCTGCTATTTCAAAATCATGGACATGTTCTTTGAAATCCATTTGCAACGAACATTAGTTTAACAATTTTCCAAACCACTACTCCCCGATCCCACACTCTCTCAATCCAATTTTCATAACGACATGAAATTTTGTAATCTTTAACGTTCAAAGATTGCATCCTCATCCGTTTAAGAGTTTTTCATCCTTTTTTAAAAAATGAATAGCCTTCTTTCAACGTTACTACTGCACGTTGGTAATAATCCTCATCAACAACAACAGCCTCTCATGAACACAACCACCATCGTGATGGAATCTCTCGTACAAGCCTTGATGCAATGGCCAACCAAAGTGTTGGAAAACGGAAGTAGTGTCATGATGAAAACGACCAAAACCATGATGAATTATACAGATGCATGGTTGGGAGGTGCCGTGTCAATGAGTACTCTCTCGGATTCAGGTGTCATCTCATCATCATCGCGTTCGTTATCGTTTCAGGTATTGGAACCAAATTTCATGCATGAATTATTGGTACGTCCACTCAATGAAGTCATTAGAAATATTTCCAATTCATTGGGAGTGGATCAATCGGCAGCTACATACATGTTCTTTCTGATTGCCATGAATTTTCCGTTAGCGTTGGTGTTGAGAATGACTCGATTTGGAATGATGAGAGCTGTGTTGGGAGCATGGATTGGACTTGTTTACACATTCTATACGTTTGGAGTACATACTTTGCATTCGATAGCTGTGCCATTGATGGTATATCTATGGCTGTATGTGACTGTTGGCATGAGTGACCGAGTGGTCAAGTATTTGAGACGCAGCCGAGCTCGATTGGCAGTTCCACTGGTGGCTGTGGTGTTCTCATTCGGATACTTGCTTGTGTGTCACTATCATCGAATGTTAACGGATTATTTAGGATGGAAATTGGACTTTACAGGACTGCAAATGCTCATTACTTTGAAGACCACTGCTGTGGCATGGAATGTATATGATGGTATACTCGTTCATGATCCTGATTCCAAGGAAGGAAAAGGTGTTACCAATCCATACCATAGAACTAACAGATTGGAACGAATGCCATCACTCATGGAATATTTTGGTTTCTTATTCTTCTTTATTCCTGTCTTGTCTGGTCCAATCTACGAAATGAGTGACTATTTGAGATTTATTTATGGCGAGTATGAAGCACATGATATTTCATTTATCAGAGATTTGAATAATAGCACAAGAGAGAGAAAAAATCCACCAATTCCTTGGTTATTAGTGTTGAAAAAGATTATTCTCGCTCTAGTCAATATGGTTCTCGTTTTGCAAACAGCATCCTATTTTGGAAGAGAGCAACTCGAAGATGTCATTTATGAAAGAGGAGATCGTCCAAGAGAGCTTTTAGGAAGTTCTCTCTTGTACAAATTTCTGTTTTCATTTGCATGTATGAACTCTATCAAATTTAAATATGTTGTGGGATGGTGCTGGAGCGAAGCTGCATTACTCATTACAGGTTTTGGATATCAAAGACATTACAAGTCTGGTGAATTTTCTTTTGCTGGTGCTGAGGCAGTCGATTACTTTGATCATTTCCTTGCATCCAATCTTCGAGATGTGACAACTACTTGGAATGTTTCTGTTTCAAAATGGTTGAGAAATTATGTATATACCCGAGTTGGAGAAAAACCTGGTACTTTGGCAACTGTTATTACATTTATTGTGAGCGCCATTTGGCATGGTATGTTTTTCTTTCAAAATTTCACATCATTCGATGACTTTGTTGTACCTTTTATGTGGCTATTTTATATTATACACTCATTGACACTATGAATCTATGTCATCTTCTGATTGGGAATGACACCATTGACACGACAATTATAACGCATTACACTCGCACAACAGGAGTCTATGCAGGATATGCCATCATGTGGATTCATTACGCACTGGCCATGAGTTTGATTGGACGTTTGGCTCACAAAAAGATGAGACCCTATTTTTTGAACGATGTTGAACATCTCTTCTCTGCAAAGAATAGTCGTGTCATGTCCTACACCTACAAGATACTGTCATTCATTGCAACTGGTATTTTCACATCCTACATTTTACCACCATTCTTGTTATTGTCTTGGGGTAATTCCATTCAATTCTTTAGATCCATGCAATGGTGTGGTCATATGGCATTCTTTCCAATATATGTCATTTTAACCATGATACCTAGTCGTCATGGTCATCACTCTGAGAGGCATGGTCACAAAAGCGTTGACTCTGTAAGCACGAAAAAGAATCAATAATTGTCTGGACCACGTGTGTGGTGTCTCTGATTTTGATTATTTTTTGTACGTTTTGCAATACAAGTGTCTGACTTTAATCTGATTGGAACATCAAAGAAACGTTTTCCATGACAAGTGACAACCGGTTGGCTCGAACAACTTATTCGAATAAGTTGTTCATCAAGCCTTTTTCAACACATCATCACGCTAGATGATTTCAACCACAAAAACAAAAACAACAACACAATGTCAGATCCCAACTTTTGTCCTTCACATAACAACTTTGAAGAACAACACGAAGAAGACCTAAGCGACATTCCATTATCTGATTTGATGGAATTGAAAACACAATGTCTCGAAGCAAAAGCCGCCTCTGAAAACAAGAGTAACAAACCACTTGTGCTAGTGATCGGTCCAACAGGAGCAGGTAAATCGGTGATTACCAATTTTCTCGCTGGTAAAAAGATGAGATATGAACAAATTGATCAACAAATGGTGGTTTCTGTGGATGGAGAGGCAGTGACTCCAATTGGCCATTCACTTCAATCAGAGACTCAATTTTCGACCTTTGTTGATGTGGGTGCCAATGTGGAATATGTTTTAGTGGATTGTGCTGGATTTTTTGACAATAGAGGTGACATGGAACAGTTGATGGCTACTCTGAGTTTGAGATTGAGCATTCTGAATTCCCCTGTGAAAGGTGTCATTGTGGTCATGGATGCAGCTTATTTTACCTCGAGAGACACCAAGTTACTAGAGACTTCTCAAATTATTGGAAAATTGCTTCCAAACATTGAAAAACTTCAGTCATCCATTGTATACCTGATCAATGACAAGACCAACAATTATGCAATCAACAAGACCGTTATTTCAGATCAAATTGGAAAACATCTCGAGAATGCCATGTCCAGATGGAACAAGTTATTTAACAGTACTTTCAACAAACTTTCACAATGGCGTAAGGGAGGAGACAATGCTTCAAAATCAAGCGCTGATGATGAGAAAGATCGCTTGACCTTTCTTCAATCTATGCATGATCAAATCCATAATTTATTCGTCGTTCGATTTGACGAAACATGTCTCCAAGAAATAACAGAAGCCATTAACAGAATGCCAGGAGTTGACAAGTCTTTCTTCTCGTTGGATGACTATGATGACAAGTGGAATCAGCTCAAGGAATTATTTCTGCAAATTACGGCCAATGCTTGTCTTGTTTATGAGAATGTCAGTGCCACGCATGCTTTGACTGAAAAATATCAAGACGATGCCAAGCACTATCAAGATCGAATCAATATATATGAAAAACGATTGAATGAAATTGGAAACAGTGGAACATTAGAGAGAGACGATTCCCAAGCTGTAGATCGAGTATTAAACCAAATTATCGAAGAGATCAAACAAAATACAAACCGGTTGACAAGCTTTGGCACTGAATTGAATCAACAAAAAGAAACATTGAACCGGTTGGAGAAGCAGATGAAGGATTTGGAGAGCCCAGAACTAGTACAGGTTTTCTCTAAAACCATCAGTGAAGAAAGAATGAAATTTTGGGGATGGCTGAGTTATACAGATGTAAATATCACATTTAAACTAAGTAATTGCCCTCTTGTGGTTGCAAAAGAAGACTTTGATTCAAACACAAGTCGTTTGGATGAGAGAAATGGTCACTGTGTTTCATCTGGTTGCTATGACAAGAGATATGGTAAGTTTTTTGTGTTTCACTTGGTTGAATGATTTTTTGAACGACTCAACCTCTTTTTTAATGATCATCATCTTTGACGATATGTGAAATTGTTCAGTCTCAAAATTTGGCAATGATGGTCTTTGTGAAATTGTGTTAAAGGCTCAGAAAAATCAAATTCCAGACAATAAGGCCTTGTACGAGACCGTCAAGCAACAACGTACTCATGTATTGAAGGAGGTTGAGCGACTTGAAGGAAATATCCGTGAGTTAACAAGTGACAATGAACGCTTGAAACAAGAGGAAAATGGAATTAGTTTAGGAAAGCAAGGAATCGCTCAAAAGAAAAAGCAAATGGCGGATGAGAAGAGAAATTTGCAATCTGTAATTAATCAATTCAAAAACAGTAGTAATGATTTGAAAGAGAAAATTACCAAGTTAACCAAACAAATGGAAAGTTATGAAGAAAAAATTACAAGTCGTCAAGCCATTTATTATGCCTTGTTTGACATTTTGGAGCTTTTGGGTCTCCAAAATAAGTTCACAGAAGAATTTAAAAAACATTACAAGAATTACTCAGAGAAACAATGGGCATTGGGAAATGACGACTCTTCAGAGAATCGAGATTCAGAGATTTTGGAACATTTGTATTGTCCAATTTCATTTGAACTCATGATTGATCCAGTGGTACTTCC